GCTATAGTAGTAGGTTTCTGAAAATTCATATAATAATATTTGAAGTTGTGCTTCCAAGTTTTAGTGTTTAACATTGACTTACCGATGTTATTTTTGTATGTATTTTTATGTGTGTGAAAGAAAGTTAATTGGTTGGGTGTTCCTTTATAATAACCCCCCTCTTTATCTGCGAGAACCTCAAATTCTTCATAAATATAAAATATTCTTCAGTCCAAAAGTTTCAACACTAGGACCAGTGGGATATTTTTCAGATTCCAAGGTTTCATTTCTCCCAGACTTAATTTCTTTCTAACCATTATTGAGTTTTATGTTCATTTTTCAGCATATTTTTTTTAGCTTTTAGATATCTTTAGGGTATTATGGTCATTCAAGTAGTCTAAATATTCAGATAATTTTGAGATAAATTTACATAATCTTGGATTTGTTTCAAAACATTCTGGGAAGGGTAGGGGGTACATGGGGAGGCATATGAGGTAACCTAGATCCTGACTTGACCATTGCTTAAACTGGCTACAGGCTTGTTTTCTTCTTTCTTTTTTCATATATTTCTGAAATGCTTCATTATTTTTGACCATGCTTTTTGCACACCCTTCTTCTGTAGATGACTGTCCCTTATCTCTTTTACATGTATGATCTGGAGGCATCCACATATGTCCCTTTTGTTTCCAGTGGCTATTACAGTCTCTCCCTAGCCAACCACTTGTAAGTCCCTCAGTCTTTCCTCTATGTTGACTATTTTTTCCCTCACTTCATTTACCTCTGTTATGCCAACTCCTTCTTTCATCAAGGTAGATACTTCCCTGGTAGTTATATAATCCTGAATCTAGCCTGAAATCACTCAGTGGCCTCATTATATTACCTTATCAATATGGTATTATGAGTGCTGAAAACCAAGGAAGTGGGTATTGACTAAATAATTACTGAATGCAATGAGCACACTTATATACACAACACCACCAACAACAAAAAATTACCTTTACTTCAAACTAATCCACTGTTTTCTCTGAGCAAGTAATATATCCACTGGGGAGAAGCCCATTGAGTTCAGCACCTCCATCAGCAACTTCAAAGTCTAAAAAAGCCAAGCATGTATTCGTTTCTCTAAGTGATATTTTATTAAATTTAGTAAAAATAAGTATGAATAATAAGATGAAAAGAGGAAAAGGAATCCAGACTAAAAGATAAGTATCAAGTTGGTGACTTTACAAATCTTTTCCATGATGATTAGTTATGATTGATGTTTACATCTTCACCTGAATGCTGCCTTTTATAAATAATAGATGGTTATAGTCAGACTGGGATTTGGATTAAAAAAAAAAAAAGCTGTTATATATAGCTAGGCATGCCCAATTTCCTATCAGCATAAACAACACAATGACCTCTAGTATTTTTTATCATTAATTGAGATTATTTTCAACAAGAAATTAAGTCAGATTCTTGCTTTAAGAGACTTAGGTATTTTCAGAGCATTTGAGAAATTTACTCCATACATGGAATTCTTATTGGGGTATGACAGAAATATACAGAAAGGTAAATTGGTATTTTAAAGTTTATAAAAGGCAAATAATATTATTAAATCCCAGGAGGAAAAAAAAAGTGAGATCTCTATTATTGTTTCTAGGAAGGGGAACATATGATCTCACCAAAGAAAATAATCAGCATCAGTGACTGAAAATTTAAAACAAACAGATGAAAGAAGGTGTAAAATCTGCCAATAGGCCCATAAAATATTACAGTTGTTTATAACACTGTAGAGAAAAGGAGGAAACTTGCTTTGAAAGTTGAAACCAAGGGCATGGTGAAGTGTATTTTTACTTTAGGAAGAAAGTTGTGCTCGTTTTCTAAGTTATCCATCTCTGTATTTTACCTATCTTCGTTTTCATTGGTCATTGGTGAAATTATTAATATATCTATGAATATGTGTAAATTTTTAAATAAATGTGTTATTCGGATGAAGCATTTTTTTTTAGGACAATACATCTTACACCAGAAATTTTCTATTTAAATTATATTTGGGCCCTTAACTGTAGTATTTTTATTTTTTACAATTTACTATAAAAAGCAGATAATACTTGTTTTACTTTGAACTCTTAATATGCTGCATTTCTCAATTCCTTCTACTTTGGCTTTCCCTGCCACCCTTCATCCTACATTTTGCTAAATTTCTCCTTAGAGAGAGAATAAAAACCATATGGCAAATATATTTTAGGAATTAGCTATCAGTAATCCCTTCCTCATTCCACTGAATTTTGTTGTTGTTTTTACTTAAGGATTCATGTTTTATCATTTTTTTAATTAAATGGCATTGGTTTGTAACTTTCATATAAATTTCATCTATACAGCATTATAAATCAACATCTGTATATACATTATGAACTCCATTAGAAGTCTAGTTTACATCCTTCACCATACAATTGACCCCCTTTACCCAATTTACTAACCCTGGTTCTCCTTCCCTTGGTGCTTTCAAATCTCCATTACCTAGGTGATGAGTACACTGTGTTTTCATACTGCCCAAGTTTATAAATGTTGAGCACGATTAAAGTTGATTTTCTTTCCCTAATACAAAAATATATGTCATTTAGCCAAACTGTTTACTTAAGAAACCTGAAGGGAGATAGTTCCACAGGAGTTACTTAGCATTTAATCACTAATATCTACACACATGTATTTCCATATTTAGTATGCCTAAAACTTCTTTGAGAAAAATGGCCTTGATTTTGATGAAAGCACTTCAAATTTAGAAATAAAAATACCCCTATTCTTGTTACTAACTGCATATTCTTGAGCAAGTTACTTAATCTCCTGTCCTTATTCCTTTATTTTAAAATTACAGATTTATTAGAATTGTTCTACCTTTAATGGTAACAGAAGATAATGTATGTATGAGTGCTTCGTGGTTATTATTGTATGGGCAAAAGCATGCTTCTTTATTTGACATGAAATCAATATTATTTTATATGCTGAGGTTATTTTGAACTAGCGTAGAGTGAATGATTCTTACTTTCTTTCACCTGATCAATAATGTTTCAAGCCAATTCATTCATAATGACACAGTAGCTTAAAAATAAAAATATTTTTGCAACCAAGTATGCAACATATGTAAACAGAAGGTCCTTTCATAATTAAGATAATCTGAAGTTTTAATAAGCTATATTAAACATGGCCTGCTAACAGTACACAATTACCATCTTATTCCTTTTATAACAGTGCTTTTAGTATTCCACTGAAACATGGCCAGTGAATGCACAATATTCTTAGTTACCATTATGAGGGGCTGTGTATATTATAGTCTCTCCACTGTGTCTGCTGTTAGCTAGAAAAATGCTGGGAGCAACAGCAGCTTCTATCAACAGGGAGCCATATTAATTATTTGAAATGTGCCTCATAAGAGGAATCAACAGAGTTTATTACAAGTCGAATATTACTTGAAAATGGAAGGTTACTCTAACTGTTACCATAATCTATGTATCATTAACTTCCCTTGTTTAGGAAAAGAGATTAACACCTCTGTAAATTGCTATAGTAAGTGTGTAAAATATAAATGCATATTCCCATTGTAGAAAGAAAGTAGGTTCTCCACTTCTACCTAAACTTGTTTTTATATAAAGTGGTTTTAGAAATTAAACTGTCTGTAATTATGCTTTCTTGACTCAAAATCCTAATTGTTTACTGGGTTATCAGTACCAAAGCTATAGCTATTTGAATAATAGCAAAGTCTTATATTTGTTAGCAAGCTTTTCCATCTGCCTCTTGGCCTTCAAATCAACTTTAATACTTTAACTCAGAAGGCAGAAATTTTATTAAAAATATATGTGTGTGGCCCTCCCTGGTGGCGCAGCGGGTTAAAGCAATGCACAAAGAAGCTTAAGCCACTTCCGCATGAGTTCGATTCCCGACTGCCCCCGGAGGAGGCCACATGGGTGGCAGACCTCTCCTGACCCGCCCGCTGCTCCCCTCAGCAGTGTACTTCGTCGGTCTGCCTGTTCTGCACCCCACTCTGTCTCTGGTGAATCCTCTCACCCTCTGCATCTCTGGCCTGTACCCCAGTTCTGTATGAATAAATAAATAAATCTTAAATATATATATATGTGTGTGTGTGTGTGTGTGTGTGTGTGTGTGTGTGAGCTGATAGTGTGCTTTATAAGACATAGAGAACAAATCCATCTATCTACTTTTTTATTTAAAATTTACATTTATTTTTGTGTAGCTGAACCAGGGTATATGTCAGAGGTGTTGTGGGGGGGGGGGGGGGGAGGGCGGTGAGAGAATTTACCAAAGACAGATTGGGGAACAATCCAGGTAGATTTACTGCTAAGGGAAGCTGCAGTGAGACAGGAGGTCTGCTACACCATATATGGGTTAGTTCCCTGGTCATGGGTCAAACTCAGGCCATCACTGTGATTGCCCTGAGTGAAACTTAACCCCTAGGCTATGAGAGAGGACTCTATCAAACTGCTTTTTATGTTGTGGTTAATTATTCTTTCTACTTCAAATACAGTAAACAAATAGATGTAGTTTTCTATTGAAATAATGGAAATAAATTATAAATATAAAATTTGAGCTAATCAGATTGCAAAATTAAATAATTGTTACACAGAGTGGATATGTTCATTGAAATAATCTTGAAAATATAAAACTTACTGATCTACAGTGAAATAAGTGCAGAAATTGAAGTATTATGAAACAGCAAATTGATATACTGTTTAACAATAAAAATGGACTTTGCATTTTTTTCACTTCATTCTTCTTATAAAGCACTTAAATATTTTTAAGTATCACTATACTAAATTTAACAACAACAAAAAACTCTAGATGGTTTAAGAAATACTGATTTCTTTGGTTGGTATGTGGATGCTAGAATGTCTATATTTAAAAGGTCAGTTCACACTCTATGCTGGCTACTAATTTTTTATGTAGAGTGATACGCTGACATTATAAAGGAAAATATGAAAAGACATAACTATGATGTCTTCTTAACATTTCTTTTTGGTCCACAGGGCAAGCACATCACGGACAGGTATCATACATCTCTCCACCAATTCACCTTGACTCTGAGCTAGAAAGACCCCCAGTTAGAGGTGAGTTTTTTTTATCTAAAGAAAAAAGAAACAGCATTTTTTTCAATGATGAAGGTTATTGATATAATTAAAGATGGTTGTAAATAAGTATTTTGCAACACAGTACCTGTTTAACAAGGTGGGGGTGGTTGATGGGAGGGTTGGTTGTGAAGCATCTGATAAAAGAAAGAATAAATCATATTCATAAATGAAACTGAAATATTGCTTTGGAAAATGTTTTTTAAATTAAAATAGGAAATAGAGCCCACAGGGATTCAATTAGTGAAAGAGGAGATTACCAGAAAAACATACTCTTAATTGGGATTTTTCTTCTACTATCTTATTACAATTACTAATATTTCATCACATACCACCACCCAGTAATCCTCCATTGGACCCCCTCCCCACTTCTTCCTTTGCTTCCAGCCCACCAAATTCCCTTTCTGTCTGGTATCCTCAGTCATATATATATATATATATATATATATATATATAAAAGACTTATTTATTTATTCATACAGAACTGGGGTACAGACCAGAGATGCAGAGGGTGAGAGAACCCACCAGAGACAGAGTGGGGAGCAGAACAGGGAGATCGATAAAGTACACTGCTGAGGGGAGCAGCGGGTGGGTCAGGAGAGGTCTGCCACACCATGTGGATCACCTCTGGGGCAGACGGGATAGAACTCATGTGGAGGTGGTTTAAGCTTCTTAGTGCAGTGCTTTAACCCACTGCATCACCAGGGAGGGCCCATATATTTTTTTATAAAGCCATTTTAGTGTTTATTCAAATGAATTTTTAAAATGTGTCAATCAAATTTATGTATTTTTAAATTGATGCCACCTGTTTAAAGATATAAAACAAAGTCATACAAAATAAAGTTAAAGGATAAAAATTATTATCTCATTATCTATACACAGAATTTCTACTTTTGTGTTTTTGATGTTTTATAATTCATAAAGTGGATATTTTGTAGACATGTATGTTAATTTTATATTGATAAATGTCTTGTTTATAAAGTTAAAATATGCATCTCAAGGTCAATTTTTCAGTTGTAAATAACAGTATACTATATTAAATCTTCAAAAGCATTAATTACTTGATATAGTAAATCATTACATCTGATTTTTATGAGCATGTTTTCTACACATGCTTTTTCCTCTGCCAGGAGTCTCCTTCCTTTCTACCTAGTAGTTTCTACCAGTGTTGAAGGCTCTGCTTTATTATCAGTTTCTTTGTTAAGCTTACCCTGAAAGTGTCCTTGGAGGAGCTGAATGTATGTCTCTCTTCCCCAAATATCCCTTTGCTTGCCTTAGTCAATTCATCAAGACATTGTATTTTATTTGTCAGTGTTCCTGGTTAGTTTTCTCATGTGTAAGGCCCCTGATGATCATACCATCTTTACTATTTTGCCTTCAGCCACTTTTCTGTGCTTGGAAAGTGACTCAAAGTGAAGGTGACAACCTAACTTCTAAAGTGTACATCCTCATTTAAAAGAAAGAGCGGGGAACAGAGATGATAAGGGGATCCCACAAAGAAAGTACAATGAGCCAATGAGCATATATATTTGAAAGTGTATGATATTTTTAAGGAAACATGCTGGAATGCACAGTAAAATGAGAGTGTTCTGGAGGAAGACTGGAAGGATTTGTAAGCAGCACATGAAGGTTTCTGCGTCACATGACATTAAGTTTGTATTTTTTTCCAGGAAAAGAATCACAAAATATTTTAAATTTCTTTTTTTTTTCCCCTAAGGCAATGGGGATTAGATCATAATGCCAGTTCTTGGTATGAGAAAAATATCTAATGTTGTGTGCATAATGAGAGATTTGGCAAAGGAAGGCAAAAATTGACAGGAAAATTATGAGTTGTATATGTGGTTGTGGAAAAATCTGAAAAAAATATTTTGTAGAGACAAGTTATTTAGCTGAAAGCTGCATGGGAAGGGACAAGAAAAAATACTTTTAAATTTCGATAGTAAATAGCAGCTTGAATGTGTATGATATATTATTTCTTCATGAGGTTTAGATGACTTTGACATTGATGCACTGTTTTAGATATGTTAATTCTAATGTAAAAGACTGTTTCTAACCAAAATTGGGAGGTCATTATGCAAGTTGATAATTTTAATATATTTCATTTGTTTCAATTGGGTCCACATAGGATCTAGGAACTGAACTGTAAGATCATAATGTAACAATTCATTGCAAAAGTTAGTGGCTTAAAATAAGAAACATTTATTATTGTTCTCAGAGTTGTTTGAATCAGATGTATGCTGACATGGCTGAGGATGGATGTTTCATAGTTACTAGGGTAGTTGATTATTAAAGGGAGTATGCAATCTACTTTCCAAGCATAAAAAGTAGCTAAAGGAGAAACAGTACAGATGACATGATCATCAAGGACCTTACACATGAAAAAGCTACACCTGAACACTGAGAAATATAATACAACATCTTGATGTGAACTACTTAACTAATATGTCATAGTAAGATGTCATTTGCATATGTGCTGTCACCTTGATATCATCTGGGATAATGGCCACATGACTCATCATCCAGCAGGCTAGCACATACTGATTCTTATTGTGACATAACTCCCAGCAATAAATAGACAAGTTCTGAAGATGTGATTTTTCAAGACTCTGCTGATGTCATGTTTCTTATTCTCCCATTAATTACCACCAGTCTTAACAGGGAAGAAAGTAAAGCCATCTTTCTTGGTGGAAGAACCACAATCAGGTAACCAATAATAGAAGAAATGTGAGCTATTTCAAGCAGTTAAACCAAGCAGAGAGAGAAGATATGTAAAATAAATTTAGAATGAAGCAATACCAAAAAAAATGCCTCATGTAGGGATTTGAAGCATATAAACTTGAGATTTGAGAACTATCTTAAGTATTCTCAACCACTGTATAAATCACAAAAGAACAACTTCATAGTGTCTTTGTGATGATACTATGATATAGAAGACATTCTGGTTTATGGTAGGCTATAAATAAAAGTTAACTATTTTTATGAAATTTAAGCCCCCTGCTGTAGCGTATGGAGGGAATTGAGCTATGGAGGACCCAGGTGACCTTGAGCAACCTCCATCTGTCATTTATAAAATAATAATAATACTACCAACCTGGCAAGTTTATTATGATGATTAAGTGAAATGATATGTCAATTTACTGGCAAAAACCTGACACAAAACTGGATTCGAAAGTGTTAGAAGTAGGAAAATATCATTCAAAGTTTCAATCTAAGATGGAATCACCTTAGTTAAAATAATGATATAATTGATCCCATAAAGAATCACTGCATAGCCATATTTATCTCTGCTTATTATCAGCTGCAGATTATGGTCTCTACCTTAGAATGATTTTTTTTTGTCTTTTCCAGTGTTTATAGTATTCCTTCACATACATTGACCAAAAGACATTCCAAAATTGTTCTATGATTCATTCAGTTAATCATGTGCCTCATACATGGAACATAAAAAAAAATGACAAAATATATTAAACAATTTGACATATTACTGTTAAATAGCTCATAGTTTCTAAAGAAAAGTTCCTTGTGTCAATGTTGATAAGTATATTAATACATCATTTTTAATTGCCATCTTGATGGATTTATAAAAATTAGATATGATTTTCCTGTAAGCATAGAGTTAAAACTGTAAAGTATACAATGCGTAAGCATATAAAGCAGTAAAAGCAGTAATTCCTGAAATATTAACATATTTCTGGACTACTGGAATTTAATATAGGTATATTAGTGCCGAAAGATAGCAAAGGAAAATATAGAGAAAGCCAGAATTCAATGGGCCAAGGG